TTGAAAGGCTCATTCCAGAACTAACACCATGGCTTTTGGCAAATCCACTGGATGGTTGAACACCCTTGCATGAACCTCGCCTTTCTCTGCACTCAGATGCTGTGTTTCCAATTGCTGCCAATATGTCCAAGTCCTCTGAAAGTCTACATCTGCCCCTCTGCCTTCCACTTACTGAGGAGCCCAACCTTACTTTTTTTTTTTTTTCATGACATGTTTGTAACTGCTATCTGGCCACTGACTGTTGCCTGACTGCCAAGATAGAAACTGAATCTCTCTGCACTTCGAGGCCATGGGATCAAGAACAGAGGAGAATGGCGAGGTTTCCTTAAACCATACTTGATCACTTGCAGCTTGTATGGAGAGTCTGATGACAGGGAAGCCATGTGGTAGAGTGTGCTGATGTCTCCTTTGGGGTCATCTATTCTCAGCATGCCATCGGCTGTACCAGGAAGCAGGGATGGGCTGAGAAATCGCTCTTGGAGGTCACATTTCAGACATACCACTATCAAAGGAGAGTCAGAGAAGAGGCCAGGTTACAAGTTAGCTCAGGCTATCACTAAGAGACAAGTTCACTTTTACTAGGCAGTCAAGGGTGAGGAGGAGGTAGGGGGACAGGAAAAAGAAGTCAGCTTGGTTTGAGGAGGTAGAGCAGACTGGCCACCTGTGTTCTAGCTATTGCTCCCCACAGTTTACTTCTTCTCTGAGCCTGGCATGATTTTCCCTTACTTTACGGCAGGGCTCACTGAGTATCTGTCTCATAGCGAGAGGTCTGGTTTGTCATTCAGTTCAGGAGGGACATGTGTCCTTGCTGGAGCAGCTAATGCTTGTGAGGTCTCAAACCCGGGTGATATGCAGAGGCCCTGGGTAACCACAGAAGGAAATCTTGCCTCCGCTGCTTCCCTGCGGCTTTGGCAATCTTGCTGGTCAGATGAAGGAAGAGTAGGAAAGCAGAAGTCAGTCAGCTGACTGCCACTGTTTTTCTCTGGGCTCTTCTAGGGGGTGCTCAGGACTATGGGAGAAACAAGTTCCTGAAATAGCTTATGTTTAATGTCTGGAAGGGACCTGTGTATTGGACCTCCAAGGCCTTGGAGCACAGCAGCGGCATTAGACATCAGGAGTGCATAGACGGGGCACTGAGTTATACTATTCTTGGTGTCTGGCACTCTGCTCTATTAAGGTTTTGGTTTTTTAAAAACATTTTTTATAATTTGTGTTTAATGTTGTTTTGCCTGCATGTATGTCTGTGTGAAGGTGTTAGAAACCCTGGAACTGGAATTACAGACAAGTGTGAACTGCCATGTGGGTGCTGGGAATTGAACCTGGTTCCTCTGGAAAGGCAGCTAACGCTCTTATCTGCTGAGCCATCTCTCCAGCCCCACCCCCTTTTGAGACAGGCTCTCCTGCAGCCCAGATTGACCTTTGACTTACCTTGTAGCTGAAAGGTGACCTTAGACTCCCACTCCCCCTGCCTCTACCTCACCGGTGCTGTGGTTCCAGGTGTGTATTACTATTTCTGGCTTTGCTTTAGGTTTCTAGTCCAGCAATTATCTTCAGGTGCCAAATGACCTGTTGCACTAAGCCTGAGACCTTGGTGCTACAAAGCATTAAAATACATATCTGGTTTGAATAAAGATGGCAAACTTGCAAGTATATGAACCCTGAATCTTCGTGAGAAGATTAGTAGGTTATGATGATTTGTGGAATGACCAGACTGCCACATGAGGTAAAAATAAAAGCAGAAGCAAATTGCAGTGACATACATCTATGGATATGTCATCTAACTAACATCTGTTATGTTATATACTAATTTAAAATCCAAATAAAAAATGTCAAGGTAACATGGGAAAAATAGAGTGGGTGACAGATTCAGCTGGGTTTCTGGGGCCCAGTTCATAAGATGTAGACTTTAATTCATCTCATTGAACCCAGGAGGGACTTTGTTTATGAATGTGCCTCCCTTCATTTCTTCTCTGCCTGACTTCCTCATTACTGCTCACTGGGATTTAGGATTTAGGATTGGTTGCAGCAAGAATCACCCTAAGAGGTAACTACAGCTAATCTTTATTGTGGTTGCTTATAATCTCCATGGGCTATATCATTCTGGAGGAGACTTAATTTCTCCAGACTCTGTTCCAGTTGTGCCTGACATCTGGATTCCAGTGTGGCCCTGGCTTGCAGAAGAGCTGATCTAAGATATGCACATATGCCGAAGCTCTGTGGACTTTTGAAGTACGGCTACAGTTGGAGTATATTCTGACTCTGACCCTGGTGATGAAAGCTTTGGAGAGGTGGCGTGGAGGGAAGCTGGAGAAAGTCTGATTTGAGCCAAGTGCAGATGCTGTGTAGCAGGAGAGACAAAACAGACTTCAGCAGTTGCTGGACTTTGAGGGCTCCAGCTCCACTAGTGAGAGAAGTGAATCCCTATTGTTTTTGTTTAGGGTGCCTAAGCACTAGGTGGGTTAGTGGTGGACAAAGGCCCAAGTTCTGGAGGTAGACAGACTGGTGCTTGATGAGTGTATTCTGGGCAAGAACTGTTAAGAGTACAGATAGAGAATCCTGATCCTAAACTGAAGAAGGGGCCCTGGATTGTGTTTCTCTGAAGCCCTAGGAAAGTGTTTAATTTCTTTGTCTTACTTTCCTCATATGTAAAAACAGATTATAGTATTATATTTGGTTTGTAGACAAATTTTTTCACACATTGCTGTTGGCCTGGCAGACAATCTTAGCACTTGAATTATCCCAGGAAGGATAAAATTATACTGCTAAGTGACAAGAAAACACTATGTTGTGTTTAACTGACAGAATTTCCATTCTTTTTTTTTTTTTTTGTTTTTTCAAGACAGGGTTTCTCTGTGACTTTGGAGGCTGTCCTGGAACTAGCTCTTGTAGACCAGGCTGGGCTCGAACTCACAGGGATCCGCCTGCCTCTGCCTCCCGAGTGCTGGGATTAAAGGCGTGCGCCACCAATGCCTGGCTAGCATTTCCATTCTTAGCGGTATAAAAATAGTGCATGTCTTATAATTGATAGCACTTTAGATCTGATGACATATTCAGTGGCAGCATTTGCCTGGTGGTGGTGTGTACAGCAGAAGGGGATTATGCAAGAAAAGAAGTTAGCATAGTAGCTTGGCAGAGGAAAGGCACACAAATGTTAAACACAAGCCAGCTTCTGTGTAAAGTTTGCTGGCTGCTTTTCCTGAGAAAGGTGAATGAGTGAATTGCAGAGGAACTAGAATCAGCTTGGGACACAATACAAAGGAGGTCCTGGGCAAAGGAAAACAGATTACTAGCAAGCTAAACCATCAAAGGCATTCCAGGCTCTAGGTGCTATGAAAGAAGTTATTTAGTGTGTATTTTTGTGCGTGCGCGTGGTGTGTGCGTGCGTGTGTGTGTGTGTGTGTGTGTGTGTGTGTGTGTGTGTGCGTGCGCGCGAGCGTGCATGAATACTATGGAACATTATGTGTAGGGCAGAGAACAACCTGTGGGAATCTGTTTTGCCATAACATGGGAGCTGGGATTGAACTCCAGTTCTCAGGCTTAGTGACAGGTGCCTTTATCTACTGAGACATCTTGCTGGTCCCAAGCCCTAGGTTTAACTAGAGGAAGAAACAGAATCTGATAGCTGTCCTTGGGAAGAGAGGGAAACCATATTCTTATTTATACTTTCAGAGGGCTTTCCCCTATCCTGAAAAAGTGGTAGTCATAGCAGAGTGCTAATACAGTAAGAGAAGATTTCAAGCATACTGCTAACTGGGGATGGAGAGATGGCTCAGCAGTTAAGAGCACTGGCTGCTCCTGCAGAGGACCTGGTTCGGTTCCCAGTACCCACATGGCAGCTCCCAGTTATATGTCACTCCAGCTTCAGGGGATCCAATGCTCTCTTCTAGCCTCTGTGAGCACCGCATGCACACAGTGCACAGACATACATGCAGGCAAAACACCCATATACATTAAACTATGTTACATATATGTGGAGCCTTCAGAGGTGGTATAAATCACATGTCATGTCAGAGCCTGGGAAAAGGGCTTTGAAAAGCATGAAACTCAGTTATACTTCCAACCCTTAATGATCTCCATAGTTGCTACCATTACCCTGCTCTGTGGAGAAAAACTGGTACAAACAAACCCCCAACTCCAAACACACTTTGATATCCTCCTTGATGAGATGGAGGGGTTGCCCTTCCTAAACTTAGTGGGACTGACTATACTGAGAAGTCCATTTGGCACCAGCCAGAGCAGCAGCTAGGACCTTGTTGACAGGCCTGGTGCTGGCAAGCTGCCTGAACTGCTTCGTGAAGATGATCTTGTGCTCATGTTGTCCTCTTTGGGGCTTGTTTCTGAGTTGTTGCAGTTTTCTTAATTTGATGCCTAGCTAGGGAGATTTTTAAGAATTTTATTTTTAGTTTATGTGTACAAGTTATGTGTATAGTTGAGTGTGTATGTCTGTATACTACATGAATCCAGTGGCTGAAGAAGGCATCAGATCCCCTGGAACTGGAGTTACAGGAGACTGTGAGCTGCCATGTGGGTGCTGGGAACTGATTCTAGGTCCTCCATAAGAACAGCCAGTGCTCTTAGTCAATGAGCCATCTCTCCCAGCCCTGAGAAGATTTTTATTTACTGCTATTAGTCTTATCACAGGCAGTGTTGATATTATCAAGGAAAAAGACTCTTGAATCATAGTACCAATAATACCTACCACATTAAGCGTGAGAATATTGGGCACAGTGCACAGTTCAGCGGATCCTGCTATGGTGTAGCCAATGTCTTACCATTGAGGCATCAAGGACTTTGCCTCTGTAACTACTTGGCCCTTGCTGGCTGGAATGGTCACTCTTTAGAACTTTTCTCTTTATGCCCATGCTGTCACTAGACAGTGTCACCTGATCCTTCTCCAACCCTTAGGCCTCAATGATCTGTATTTTGATGACTCACCAGAGTCATCTAGACTTCTAAACCTAGACAAGGATAGACTTAGCCTACAGAACCTATCTTTTCAGGGTTGTGTACTTGGATTATCCCCGGCTCTGGAAGAAGGAGGAAGGCTCTGTGGAGCAAGAAGAAGATGGATGTGTTCTTGGTCGGTTTCACTGTTATGCAGCCAGGCTTTGAAGAAGACCTCCATGCTCACAACATCATTGTCAAGAGTCTGAAGGACAATGTCAGCTTCCAGGATGGCACTCTCTGCAGAAGAAGGGAAAATGGTGCTTAAGGTGTTTTAGTTTGTTTTGGGGAGGGTTAAAAATCTTATTATTTACTTAAGACTTTTTAGGGGGGTGGGGGCAAGTCTGGGAAAATGACTGACTATTAAGAGCATTTACTGCTCTTGCAGAGGACCTGAGTTCAATCCCTAGCACCTATGTTAGGTGGGACACAACTGCCTGTAACTGCAGCTCCTGAGATCTGATGATCTCTCTTCTCAACTCCGAGGGTATCTGTACTCACACATGCACACGCATGATTCAAAATAAAAATAAGTCATCACAGTGATTTAAAAATAGATTTAAAAATATTTTAATTAAAATGGTTTATGTGTTGGGGCTGGAGAGATGGCTCAGCTATTGAGAGCATTGTGCTTGCAGAGGGTCTGGGTTTGATTCCCAGTTGACATGGTGGCTCAAAACTATCTGTAACTCAAGTCCCAAGGGATCCAACACCCTCTTTGGAACCTCAGCAGGCACCAGACATGCATGTGACACATATATATACAGACAAAATATACATGTAAGATAATAAAATAAATCTAAAAATGTTAAAAAATTGTTATGTGTTTTGGTGCCTTGTCTTACATGTAAGTTTGTGCACCAAAAGCATGCCTGACACCCACAAAGGGCAGAAGAGGGTACCGGAAGCCCTGGAACTGGAGGTATGGACTGCTGCTGTGAGCTGTCTAGAGGGTGCTGGGAACTGAATTTAGAAGAGTACTCTTAACTGCTGAGTCATTTCTCCAGCCACTTATTTTTAATTTTTAGTTATGTGTCTGTGTGTAGATGTGTGCTTGCAAATGCAGGTGTCTGTGGAGGTCAGAAGAGGGTGTCAGATTCCGTTGAGCTGGAGTTACAGATAGTTATGTGTGCTGGGTACCTCTGTAGCACTGGCTGTCCTGGATCTCACTATGTAGATCAGGCTGGCTTTGAACCCATAGAGATCTGTCTGCCTCTACTTCTCAAGTGCTGAGATTAAAGGCATGCACCACTGCACTTGGCTAAGTGTTTAATTTTTTAATTAAACTTTTTTTTTCAAGATAGAGTCTTGCTATGTAGCTCTGGCTAGCCCAGCATTCACTGTGTAGAGCAGGCCTTGAACCTGCCATGAGTCTCCTACCTTGGCTTCCCAGTTGCTGGGATTACAAACATGAACCATCACACATGTCTAATTTTTTAATTATAGATTTTGGAAAGTATAAACTTTAATTATACCTATCTTCTGACACATCAGCTGCATGTCTCAATATCTGTCCTAGACACAATTCTTGGAGCATACACAATAATAGAATAAATCTAAAAATGTTAAAAAATCGTTATGTGTTTTGGTGCAATACAAGAGACATATACAAAGACATTCGGCACAGAATTGCCATAACAACAACCAAACTCCAAACAGGAAGCAAGTCTAATGTCTATCAATTGAGGAATGTTTAAACAAATTACAACGCACTCAAACTGGTATGTACTATAATTGTTAGCAATTTAAATATAAGTACACCAACACGGGAATCTAGAAGAAAGCCATGAAGGAAGTTGTAGGGCAGATATGGTCCCCATTTGTAAGAAGATAAAACTACCTGCATAAGTACATATGTGCTATGTACACGTACTTTATAAAGGTTTGGAAGGCTGCCATCCAACTGTTAGTTGTTGGGGAGCAGAAATAGGCAGGGTTCTGAGACACATTCCCTTTTTATTTACACTCCTACATTCTTTACATTTTATCTTAATTGTGTATTTCTGTTCTAAATATCGCACGGGTCTGGAGAGATGACTCAGCAGTTAAGAATGCTTGTTCTTGCAAAGGGCCACAGTTGGGTTCCAGCACTGACACTGGACAACTCAACAACAACAACAACAACACACACACACACACACACACACACACACAAATAAATAAAATAAATCTTTTAAAAAACACTAAAAAATTCTAGAATATAAAAGTTATGAAAATTACATAACAATGCAGGTTAGTTATTAGAAAGACATATCAGTTTTATGTTGTCATTTATATAAATAAATCATTTCCCCTGTTAAAATGCATCTGAACATCTAAAAGAAAAAAGATGAACTATTGTATTGGGTTCTACCTGGTGATATAGATTACAGACTTAGTGTGTTTGGCATAAAGAGGAGTGGCTCTGGGTAAGTGGGCTGTCAGGCTTCCCTGAGGTAATTCTAAATTCAGCCAGATCTACCTTTGGTGCTGGGGTCTGGTTCTGCAGATAACCGTTGTCAAGGAAAGTCAAATAAAAAGTAGTGGAGAAAGCAGGGACAGAAGACGTGAGGGAAGAGCTGAGGAGAAACCCCCAGGGCCTTACTGAGATACAAAGGGCCTAAGAAAAGCCGGTGGCTCAAATGAATTAACCTCTGTGTATGACTCATGAATGCCGGACGGTTTATTTCTAGAACGACATTCCTGAGGAGAAGTTGGTAGAGGTGGCAGACTCTCCACCACAAGAACAAAGAAGGTTCAGTTCAACGTGCTGGCTCCAACACAGGCGGTACAGGGCATTAGATGACCTCACATCTCATTCAAGGACAGGGAGAGCAAGCACACTTTCTTTTTCTTTTTTTCTGCTCAGCACAATCAACTCTGCTAAGTAGTTATGCAGATTCATTCATTACCAGCTGTTTCATCCATTCCATCAGGAGCAAACAATTCGCTGGGGGGGGGGGGAGATTTTAAAAGCAGCATTATTCCTGAGCATCGCTTCTCAAATTCCTGTCAGTTCCATTGTGTTTTATGGTACTATGATAATAAGCCAAAGAAACATTTTTTTTTATTTTTTTATTTTTTTTTTAAGATAGGGTTTCTCTGTAGCTTTGGAGCCTATCCTGGCACTTGCTCTGTAGACCAGGCTGGCCTCAACTCACAGAGATCCGCCTGCCTCTGCCTCCCTAGTGCTGGGATTAAAGGCATGCGCCACCGATGCCTGGCCCAAAGAAACGTTTAAAAAATAATGTGGATCTGGTGCTGGCATAGGCAAATATTTGATAGTTTTTGTTGTTCTTTTTTTCCTGAGCCTTTGAACTTTGAGTTGAGCAACATATTTGGGGATGAGTGAGCAGTTTTCCCTCAGTAAGGCAAAAGAACCATTAAAGCTACAAGGGCAAGTACAGAGCTAAAGAAATAGAATTGAGGGGCTGGAGAGGTGACTCAGTGGTTAAGAGCACTGGCTGCTTTTCTAGGAGATGTGGGTTCAAGCCCCAGCAACTACACTTTGGCTAATAACTGCCTGTAACTCCAGTTTCCAGAGGATTCAGCTGGTCACCCTCTGTTTTCCCCAGACACACATGTGATGCACATATATGTAAAATATTCATACACATAAATTAAAAATAAATATATTTTTTGAAAGAGAGGCTCAGATAAGTGAGTATAAAGGGTAGAAGATTGGAAACTCCTACAGTGGGAAACAGGGAGACAAGACATCATTATCCATATTGAGAACGTAGAAACAACAACAAAAGGGTTTCCGAAAGTAATTAAAACTATGAATTTAACACGGGGTGGTAAGACCATGGAAAAACAGTTCCTTTAAGAAGAAAGGAATGAAGCTGGGTGTGGTGGCTCATGTTTTACCCAGCATGCAGGAGGCAGAGGTAGGCGGATCTCTTTAATTTCAAAGCCATCCTGTTTTACATAGAGACTTCCAGGTCAGCCAGAGAAACACAGTGAAACCATATCTCAAGAGAGAGAGGAAGAGAGAGAGAGAGAGAGAGAGAGAGAGAGAGAGAGAGAGAGAGGGTTGCCTTTAACAGCAAATACAAATATGCTAAGACTAGAACAAAACAAAAGGCAAGCATGATGTGATGCACAAGGATGCCATGCAAATCGCAAGACTTTGCAGTAGCTTTATTGACAGTCTTGTAACTTAGAGGATGGATATGCACACTGGACAGGGAGAAAAGTCACCAGAAATAGAACACAGATGAAGCAACGAGAGAATGTGGGAACCTTCTCTAAGTATAGCTCCTACATGTGTTACAGTGTCAAAGATGTGAATGTCACCTCGGTTTGTAGATTATGGCCGTTACAATTCTTTCTCTAAAATATCCTAGCTTTTCCATTAGTTTTGAGCTTGGGAAGCTAAATGTCTGAGAGGGTGCTGGCAAAAGCCACTTGGAATAACTGGTCTTTGAACACGGCACCTCTATGATGGAAAATGCCATGCCATCAAATGAGTCGGTGAGCCAATCTTCCCCTGGTGGTGTTCATTGTTTGTATTTCTAACTTTTTAAAAATCTAACTAATTAATTCTTATGTGTATAGGTGTTTTGCCTGCATGTGTGTCTGGGGGCCATACATGTGCAGTGTCCACAGAGGCCAGAAAAGGGCATTGGATCCCCTGGAACCAGATTTACATATGATTGTGAGGCACCTTGTGGGTGATGGGAATCAAACCTGAGTCCTCTGGAAGAGCAGCCAGTGTACGTAATGGCTGAGCCATCTCTCCATCTCTCCAACTCCCGTTTCTCCTTCCTTCCTTCCTTCCTTCCTTCCTCCTCCCTTTCTTTCTTTCTTTCTTTCTTTCTTTCTTTCTTTCTTTCTTTCTTTCTTTCTTTCCTTGGTTTTTCCGAGACAGGGTTTCTCTGTGTAATAGTCCTGGCTGTCCTGGAACTCAATTTGTACACCGGGCTGGCCTTGAACTCCAAGATCGACCTGCCTCTGCCCCCCAAGTGCTTGGATTAAAAAGGTGTGCGCCACCATCACCAGGCTCCAAAACCCCCATTTCTAACGTCTTAACCTATACACTCTGGGAATAGTAACAGCAAAACTTTTTCCTTTGAAGAAATTCTCAGTTGTCTCCACAGCGGTGCTGAGCTTCAGGGTTGGGTTCATTTTGCTGTCTCAGGAGTGGCATCCTTTCAGGGACAAAGTATAGATGGTGCATCTGCTAAGAGCATGGCCTGTTCTTTCAGGGGGCTCAGGTTCTATTCTACTGTCACCTACTCATCTTGGAGCACTCGGAATGACCCATCATTCCTCCCCTTCTTCAGCGATGGCCCAGGCTGTTGACAACCTATTTTCAAGACCAAGTTCAAATGCTGCCTGCTTCCCTGTCCTGATCCACCCTGGGTTTGTAGGTGATGTTGGCAGGGCATGCAGTTCCTTTTACACTTGTGATGTCACTTGGGAACACATTTGACTCCCCCCCATTTAAATGTAGGCTTCTCCCCATCCCCCAGCTCAGAGCCTCGGCCAGAGCTGAAGCTCAGCAAAGGCCCCTAGCTCCCTTTGCTTTTCCTGTGACTCTTCGCTTCAGCTAAGTTAGTCTCCTTGTCACATGACTTCCTTCCTTCCTTGGGACTTTTATTGCTCTGTTAATCCATGGCCTCTTCCAGCGTTTGACTCAGAACTTTGTCCAGGGGCTATGTTTAAATTATTCCTTTGTCTACCCTAATTAGTACCTACTGGGTGCTTGTGGGCTTCGTTTCTACAGTGCTAATCACACTCATTATTTCTTCTGAAGGCTTTCTCTTCCTGAGTTTATGAAAGTCAGTGAGATTTAGTGGAAAGACTAGGACTTGAATTGTGCCTTGAATATTGTTAGCTGTGTGTTCTTGGGTAGGGTGAGGACACTGACCTGTTTCCTAGTTTTCATGAAGCACTACCATGTGAGATGTTTACGAATAGCACGCAGTAGGTCTGACCTTCCTTCCTTCTCCTCCTCTTCCTCCTCCCTCCTCCCCATCTGACTGTCATTCTGAGATGAAACAGCATCTCGTATGGCCCAGGTTGGTCTCAGACCCATTATGTAGCCAAGGGTTATCTTGAACTTCACCACCATACCCAGTTTATGTGGTGCTGAGGGCCAAACCCAGAGCTTTGTGAATGTAAGATAAGCATGCTAGTAACTGAGCTACATGCCCAGCCCTCCTTGTCCTCTTCTCTGATCTACAGAAGGATTCACTCTCAAAGGGGAAAAAAAAAAGACAAAAACAAAACACTCCCAAACAAAAACCAAAAATAAACCCCAAAAATGTACTTTTATTTTTCTTTAAACTTTTTTTTTCTTCGTCATTGTCCTTGGCTTCTGCTTTATCATACATAAGAACACCAGAACCTATTGCCATATTACCCATAAATATAACTAAATGTGCTAAGCCTGGGAGTTGGGAAGGAAATAGTGTTCTTAGATGATGAAGAACAGCTCCACACTTACTAGAAAGGTAGGGCATGACATGTCCAATGAGGGGCCCGAGTGAAACCACAGCCTAGTGTTCTGAGTCTTTGTAGCCCCAGGAGGCTGCATTCAGATTCTGTCTGTGGGCTTATTCTGCCCCCTAGTGGCCACAAGCCATGACAGCCTTCACTGGACTCTTTAAGCTCTGCTGGAAAAATCAAGTAATGCCTACAGCAGACGCAACCCTGAAGCAGTATCACATAACGGAAGTGTATCTTTCAAAAATATTTTATTTTCTGGGTATGTACATATACCTGAAAGTATGTTTGTGTTCCATGTGTGTGCAGGTGGACTTGGATTTACAGACTATCATGGGCAGTCTTGTGGGTGCTGAGAAGCAAACCCTGACCTCTGGAAGAGTGAGCACCCTTAACTGCTGAGCCTTCTCTCCAGCTCTCTGAGTGTATTTTTGGTGGGGTCCTCTACACGTATACTAGGTGACTTATTTTTCTTGACATAAAATGTCTAAGTGGCCTTAAGTGGAAATGGAACTCCCAAACAGTCCTGTAGCTCATACTCACTCCCACAAAGGCCTTTGTTCTACCAACAGCCCTGATGTGGCCTACCCTTGGGAGTCATGGGTGAGAACCCTCTGACATTGCAGACAGTTCCACCTGTACACGAAGGCACATTTGGGTTGGGTAGGGGAAGAGGACAGGCACTTACTTAACTTTACCAGATCCTCAGAGAGTCTCTGTGAGCCTTAAGATATCAGCCAAGATTTATTGTTATATGGGGGGATATGTGCCTGTAAATGAGGGTGCCTGTGGGGGCCCAAGGCATTAGAGCCCCTGAATCTGGAATTACGTGCAGTATGTGTCACTTGATGTGGGTTCTGGGAATTGAACTCCTATCTTCTGCCAGGGCTTGAGATACTTTTAACCAGTGAGCCATATTTCTAGGCTCTGAAGATCTCTCTTTAACAAATATTCATTTGATGCATGTGTGGTGCATGTGTGTGTGCATATGTGTGGCGGTCAAAAGACAACTCACAGGAGTCATTTCTCTCCTTCCATCATGTGAGTCTTGGAGGCCAAACTCAAGTCACAATAAGTCATCTCCCTAACCCCCGAATCTCTTCTTTGGTTTGTATGTTTTAAGGGAACACAAATGGAGTCTGTCCTTTAGGAAGAGAAGTCTTAGGATTATTCCATGACAGGTAAGCTTGCAGTTTGCATTGGCTTTTGTGACTGTTCCTTCTCTGGATACTACAAATGTGGTATAGAGGACAAACCAGTGTGTGTGCGTGTGCGTGTGCGTGTGCGTGTGTATTGTGCACCACACCTGGTACCTTGTCCATTCCCGAGTCATCAGGACTACCCTAGAGCTTGGCATAGAGCAGGGTTTAGTAAATGCTTCAATGAACAGAAAGACTGAATTATAGCCGGGCTGCTGAATAGTTCCTCTGTGACCTCAGGCAGTCACGTTGCCTCTGTAACTTCAACTCTTACATCTGTATGGTGGTTTGAATGAGATGTCCCCTATAGTCTCGGACTTCTGAATATTTGGGGAGGCTTAGGAAATGTGGCATTGCTGGAGGAAGTGTGTCACTGGGAGTGAGCTTGAAGAGCTTAAGGCCCGGCTCTACTGCCACTTTGTCCTTTTCGCGTCGTGTTTGTGGTTGAAGATGTGGGCTCTCCTTCCTGCTGCTGTGCCTGCTGCCATGCTGTCCCCATCATTTTGAACTCTGCCCCCCTGTAACCATAAACCCAAACAAACTTTCTTCTAAAAGTTGCCTTGGCCATGGCATTTTACCACAGCAACAGGAAAGTAACTAATAACTGTATGCTGGAAGTGGTAGTGGTGCCTGGGCTGAGAGCCCATTGAGTAGGAAATGGGGACACTGGACACCTGGAAGCATTGTGGACTTTCTTCTGGGCATAAAGATCAATAAGTTGCCTCTCAGAAGTCTACAAAGATGCAGACATTTTAGACACTAAAGGCCTGGCCGTTTATTTTTTTTTCTGTCGCATGCCAAAAATTTCAATGAAGTATACAATCCAAATTGGAAGAAAAAATATTTTAACTATCATTCTCAGTGGTCCTGTTTTCATTTCATTAAAAAAAACAAAGTCCCTATGTAAAAGAGGTTGCTTGTGGTGATTGAGATATGCTAAAGTCTAAAGTATTATTTGGAGCTGGGGTGATAACTCAGTTGGTAAAAATTTTTGCCTCATGAGCACGAGGACATGAGTTCAATCCCCAGATTCCGTGTGAAAATGTTGGGGCATGGTGGTGTACACTTGCAACCCAAGCCCTGGGGAGACAGAGGCAGGGGGAATACCTGGGACTCACTGGACAGCCAGTTAGTCTAATTGGTGAGCTCTAGACCCACCAGAGAGCCTTCTCCAAGGGGGTGGGTGACACTCCTGCACTCGACACCTGACACTGCATTCTGGCTTCCTCATGCATATTCCTCCATCTCAACAATACAGAAAAGCAGTCAGATTACATATTATTTGGCTTGGTAAACACCAGTCTTAGGAGATATTTCAAAATCCTCCATGGTGGCACATGCCTATAATTGCAGCACTAGGGAAACTGAGGCAGAGTTGCTGTGAATGTGGCTATGGGGTAGGCACCAATACCAGGGCAGTCAGGGCCCCATAAAGAGACCCTGCTTCAAAAACAAAAGTTTTTTATTACCCCTGCAGACATTTATTTGCATATGACCACAGCTTAAATGTATTCAATGTAAACTGACACTCAAAAATTTAAATCTGACTGGGAAGTAGTGTTTTCATAGGCACTGTGGTAAGAGAGCAGGACCAGGCAGGGTGAATGAAGAAAGGGCTAGGAAGACATTCCATCTGATGGCACAGCCACAGCAACCACAGCAAAGAATTTTGCCTCCTTTAAACATTTAAAATTTTATTTATTAGTTACCATTACTTGTGATATTGATATTTATTACTAATAGATAGTTATTAATGGCATTAATGAGCATTAACAGTGACCATGTGAGCAGGCACATAGTGCTGCACATGTACCAGGGTGTGAGTGTGGAGGTCAGAGGACAATTGTTGGGAGCCAGTGCTCTGATTTCACTGTGAAATCCAGGGTTTGAACTCTGACCATGGAGCTTGCATAGTGAGCTAAACTGAGTAAGAAAAAGTTAAAAAGTTCTCTGAAACCAAAGAAATCCCAAAGCACAAGCACACATTTACACCTAGACTGCATGACTGTGATTCTGTGTGTGTCTGTACATTTGCATCCCTGGAAGGGTACTGAGTTCATAAAAGAGGAACTTGTACACAAAAGAAACCCATACACAAATTTCAAAGATATTTACAAATTCTCCTCTAAAAGTTGTTAGCATTGTGGTTACATTCCGGTTCCCTTGTGTTATAAATCCCAGCACTTTCCCCTAGTTTTTTAGTTGTCCTTTTTATCTTGTCAACAATATTAATTAAAAATCACATTTATTTATTTTTGGGAGTGTGTGTGTGTGTGAGTGAGAGAGAGAGAGAGAGAGAGAGAGAGAGAGAGAGAGAGAGAGGGAGAGAG